TTCGTGGTCTTTGAGCAGCCCAACTTTTGAGAAAGCAAACGCCTCTTCGATTTCTGAGATCAACCCTCGTGATCTCTAAGCAGCCCAGCTTTTGAGAAAGCAAACGCCTCTTCGATTTCTGAGCAGGCGCCTCTTCGATTTCTGAAGCTCCGTCGAGTGCAGATTTTTATAGGGGCTGGCATTAAGTTCCAAAGCACACTTGAATCTCCACCAGTAGAAGCTTCATTCTTGCACTTCTAAGATCTTGATTTGTCCGACCTCTTCTCTCTTCAACACCTTTGAAAATGTCTGGCCCCTCCGACCGTCGTTTTGACTTGAACCTTGTTGAAGAGGCAGCCCCGCCTTCTCCAGACAAACATATGGCGCCCATCCTTCGTCCTCCCCTACTGGTCCTCTTACCGTTGGGGATTCCGTGATGAAGAATGATATGACCGCTGCGGTGGTGGCCAGGAACCTTCTCACTCCCAAAGATAACAGACTACTTTCCAAACGGTCTGATGAGTTAGCTGTTAAGGATTCGCTGGCTCTCAGTGTTCAGTGTGCAGGTTCTGTGTCTAATATGGCCCAACGCCTATTTGCTCGAACCCGCCAAGTTGAATCATTGGCGGCTGAAGTGATGAGTCTCAAACAGGAGATTAGAGGGCTCAAGCATGAGAATAAACAGTTGCACCGGCTCGCACATGACTATGCTACAAACATGAAGAGGAAGCTTGACCAGATGAAGGAAACTGATGGTCAGGTTTTACTTGATCATCAGAGATTTGTGGGGTTTGTTCCAAAGGCATTTATTGCCTTCGTCTTCTGGGGCTGTACCGCGTAATGAAGCTCCAAATGATCAACCTCTGATGCCTCCATCCTTCTAGGGTTCTGTCCAGTACTGAGGCTCCAAAATGATCCCCCTCCGGTGCCTTCTCTTTCTGGGGCTCTACCGACTGCTGAGACTTCTCCTAAGCAACCTTTGTGAAGGCTCCCTCTGTCTTGTTTGTATTTTTGACTCATGTATATGTACATATTTGTAGCTTATCGGGGATATCAATAAATAAGCTTTCCTTCATTTCAAAGTATTGTGTTAAAAACACCAAAGCCTTCTTCGCTAAGTTCTTTGAATTTTCTTTTGTTGAAGCTTGTATGTTGAAGCTTTCTGAGTGGAGCATGTAGGTTGGGGTAGTGTTCCCTTAATTTCCCGAGTGAGGAAAACTTCTCTGTTGGAGACTTGGAAAATCCAAGTCACTGAGTGGGATCGGCTATATGAATCTTAGAACGCCATTGTGCTCGATCCTGTGTCATGTCCTTCGTTAGATCCAAGTACTCTAAGTCTTTTCTTAGAGTCTCTTCCAAAGTTTTCCTAGGTCTTCCTCTACCCCTTCGGCCCTGAACCTCTGTCCCATAGTCGCATCTTCTAATCGGAGCGTCAGTAGGCCTTCTTTGCACATGTCCAAACCACCGTAACCGATTTTCTCTCATCTTTCCTTCAATTTCGGCTACTCCTACTTTACCCCGGATATCCTCATTCCTAATCTTTATCCTTTCTCGTGTGCCCACACATCCAACGAAGCATCCTCATCTCCGCTACACCCATTTTGTGTACGTGTTGATGTTTCACCGCCCAACATTCTGTGCCATACAGCATCGCCGGCCTTATTGCCGTCCTATAAAAATTTCCCTTGAGCTTCAGTGGCATACGGCGGTCACATAACACGCCGGATGCACTCTTCCACTTCATCCATCCAGCTTGTATTCTATGGTTGAGAGATCTCCATCTAATTCTCCGTTCTTTTGCAAGATAGATCCTAGGTAACGAAAACGGTCGCTCTTTGGTATTTCTTGATCTCCGATCCTCACCCCTAACTCGTTTTGGCCTCCATTTGCACTGAACTTGCACTCCATATATTCTGTCTTTGATCGGCTTAGGCGAAGACCTTTAGATTCCACACACTTCTCTCCAAAGGTTAAGCTTTGCATTTACCCCTTCCTGAGTTTCATCTATCAACACTATATCGTCTGCGAAAAGCATACACCAAGGAATATCATCTTGAATATGTCCTGTTAACTCATCCATTACCAACGCAAAAAGGTAAGGACTTAAGGATGAGCCTTGATGTAATCCTACAGTTATGGGGAAGCTTTCGGTTTGTCCTTCATGAGTTCTTACGGCAGTCTTTGCTCCTTCATACATATCCTTTATAGCTTGGATATATGCTACTCGTACTTTCTTCTCTAAAAATCCTCCAAAGAATGTCTCTTGGGACCCTATCATACGCTTTTTCCAAATCTATAAAGACCATGTGTAAATCCTTTTTCCCATCTCTATATCTTTCCATCAATCTTCGTAAGAGATAGATTGCCTCCATGGTTGAGCGCCCTGGCATGAACCCGAATTGGTTGTCCGAAACCCGTGTCTCTTGCCTCAATCTATGCTCAATGACTCTCTCCCAGAGCTTCATTGTATGACTCATTAGCTTAATACCCCTATAGTTCATGCAATTTTGTACGTCGCCCTTATTCTTGTAGATAGGCACCAAAGTGCTCGTTCGCCACTCATTTGGCATCTTCTTCGTTTTCAAAATCCTATTGAAAAGGTCAGTGAGCCATGTTATACCTGTCTCTCCCAAAAGTTTCCACACTTCAATTGGTATATCGTCTGGGCCTATTGCTTTTTTATGCTTCATCTTCTTCAAAGCTACAACCACTTCTTCCTTCCGGATTCGACGATAAAAAGAGTAGTTTCTACACTCTTCTGAGTTACTCAACTCCCCTAAAGAAGCACTCATTTCATGTCCTTCATTGAAAAGATTATGAAAATAACCTCTCCATCTGTCTTTAACCGCGTTCTCTGTAGCAAGAACCTTTCCATCATCATCCTTAATGCACCTCACTTGGTTTAGGTCCCTTGTCTTCTTTTCCCTTGCTCTAGATAGTTTATAGATATCCAACTCTCCTTCTTTGGTATCTAGTCGTTTATACATATCGTCGTAAGCCGCTAACTTAGCTTCTCTGACAGCTTTCTTCGCCTCTTGCTTCGCTTTTCTATACCTTTCACCATTTTCATCGGTCCTCTCCTTGTATAAGGCTTACAACATTCCTTCTTAGCCTTCACCTTTGTTTGTACCTCCTCATTCCACCACCAAGATTCCTTTTGGTGTGGGGCAAAGCCCTTGGACTCTCCTAATACCTCTTTTGCTACTTTTCGGATACAACTAGCCATGGAATCCCACATTTGGCTAGCTTCCCCATCTCTATCCCACACACATTAGGTGATTACCTTCTCTTTGAAAATGGCTTGTTTTTCTTCTTTTAGATTCCACCATCTAGTCCTTGGGCACTTCCAAGTCTTGTTCTTTTGTCTTACTCTTTTGATATGTACATCCATCACCAATAAGCGATGTTGATTAGCCACGCTCTCTCCTGGTATAACTTTGCAATCCTTACAAGTTATACGATCCCCTTTCCTCATTAGAAGAAAATCTATTTGTGTTTTTGACGACCCACTCTTGTAGGTGATCACATGTTCTTCTCTCTTCTTAAAGAAGGTGTTGGCTAAGAAGAGATCATATGCCATTGCAAAATCCAAGATGGCTTCCCTATCCTCGTTTCTCTCCCCAAAACCATGGCCACCATGAAAACCTCCATAGTTGCCTGTCTCTCTGCCCACGTGTCCATTTAAATCTCCTCCTATAAATAACTTCTCCGTCTGAGCAATTCCTTGCACCAAGTCTCCAAGGTCTTCCCAAAATTTCTCCTTCGAACTCGTATCCAACCCTACTTGAGGTGCGTACGCACTAATCACATTGATAAGTTCTTGTCCTATTACAATCTTGATTGCCATGATTCTATCTCCTACCCTCTTGACATCTACAACATCTTGTACCAAGGTCTTGTCCACGATGATGCCAACACCGTTTCTCGTTCTATTTGTGCCCGAATACCAAAGTTTAAACCCTGAGTTTTCTAGATCCTTTGCCTTGCTACCAACCCACTTAGTTTCTTGTAGGCACATAATATTTATCCTTCTCCTCACCATAACTTCCACTACTTCCATAGATTTTCCCGTTAAGGTTCCTATATTCCACGTTCCTAAACGCATTTTGCTCTCTTGAACTCTACCCTTCTGTCCTAGCTTCTTCACCCTCCCCCGTCTAATAGGATCAAAGTACTTCTTTTGTGTGTCCCGGGTAAAGTTGATAGGAGCATATGCTCCCAAACAACTTTGAGTGGAGTCGTTCGAAAAGAAGTTTCTATGGCCCCCTTGCTCATTTAACACTGCATCCGGGTGCCGATGGAGATACAGCGACCCTTGCTCACTTATCACTGTGCTCGGGCCACACAGCGCGCCACTTACGGGTGACGCCCTAGCTTTAGCGCGATTTTGTTCTGGATTCATTTTCATAAGGATTCGACGTGATCATGGAGTGCCAGCTGTCGACTACCTGACGCCCTCCCCCTCCTGGGCAAAGTCCACTTCGGTGGACTTGCTCTAAAGGAAATAAAGGTGACCATTGAAAGGTTATGGCTTATCCCTATTTCACTTGACTTTGTTTGTAATGATATATATGGATATGGTAAGTTTCTTGGTTCCAAATCCTAATCATCGAAGGCTCAAAGTGGAAATTGAGTTTGGGAACTAAGGCATGAAAGGGATGGAAGAGTTCCATGGTGAAGCTAGAAAATCAGATGAAGGGATTTGAGAAAGACAAGCCAAGGCTGGGCTATTTAACAATGGATTGCTAAAAGATCTCACATTTGAATTCGACGAGTCTTGCCTTTTGGAGTAGCAGGTGTGGACCAGACAAAACAAGTGAATTCGAATTATTTAGTCAGGTGACTATTTAATACAAAAATGAACTAAACAACCGGCTTCATACTATTAGTCTTATTCAATACTTTATACGGCATGCCAAGCTTGGCTTTATTGCTTTTGCATGCAGTCGTTGAATTTTTCAATCATTAAGTTATTTTATGAAAAAATATATATAAAAAAAAAAACGAAAAGAGAGACAAGGTATTGTAAACAGCTGGAATATTATTAGAAAACAGTGAGCAATATTGGCTGTTATCTAACTTGATAATGGAATCATAACGTAAAAATAATGGAATTGGCTATACATGGACATCATGTTACAACAATATGTGTTAATCGAAGAACCCTAAAAGACTAATTATGAAGTTAACAATAGAAGCAGAAGAGCTGCACAACTTGTGAAAACCTGAAAAACAACCAAATTTTCAGGCAGATGAGAAACAAAATTTAAAAATAAAGCTTGAATTACTAAAGATAGGAGTAGTCTTGAAACTCATACCTTGTAGTTAAGAAGAGATGATGATGCTGCAGAAGGTCCAACAAGTCCAGTGAAGCCAATGTTATATGAAATGCTCCCATCAGCTTTGAACAATCCGAAGTTCCTCTCAGACGTCGGCCCCGGCTTCAAATTCTCATTGAACAAAGCAAAAATGTAAGCTCTCACAACCATCTTTGGCCTATGTGGCGTCCCCCTCTTCTTCAACAGCCGTTTGCGCAAGTTGTAGTTGTACGTCCTGGCATTTTGGACATTGGCTCCTGCTTCACTTTCGTCCCCGCGAGACGCCCAACCAGTTTCGGAAACTATGACCTCTGTCTTGTCAAATCCAGCCTTCTCCAGAGCAAAATACGCCGCATCAACCATTGCGTCAAACATGTTGTCGTAATGCAGGTTGGTTTTTGTATCATGAATCCCAGCATTTTTCTTGAAGAGAGCATAGTTGAGGTCAATGTGCTCGGGGTCGCTCTTATATGCCAGAAATGGATATGCATTTATGTAAAAAGGGGAATTAATCTGTGAGAAAAATTCCAAAAGCGGGTTCATGAATTGAGCAACATCTTCCTTGAAAATGCAGGCAGATGGCGGGTAAGAATTCGCGAACACAGCCTCCGAATGTGGACTCGACACCTGAATGGAGGTCGCCATATTAAGCCTGCTAAGCGCATTGTAAACGTTCTTCACGGCAGGCAATAAGACCTCGGAGAGTTCTATATCAGTTCCCCCCAATATCTCATTCCCCACTGCTATTCCAGTAATGTGCGTTCCCGGAATGTATGGCTGTACATTTTCTTTTATCCAATCCGTGGCGCGATCCTCGTTCACGCTGATATCTTTCAGGAACTGACTTCCAAGCCCTACAATTATTTCAATTCCCGATCCCTTGAAGGCGGTGAGGACTTCATGATCAGCGTCATATATCCTGACGTTTTTTATCTTTGCCGCTTTGAGAAGCGTCACCACGCTGTGAGGCGACGGTATATTGTCAGCGAGCCTGCCATAGTTTACTCCGTATGTTCCGGTAAAAGATGCATCCACTAAACACAAAGAAAAATTCATGATCCAGAGAAGGTCACACACATCATTTAACAGACATGAGACATGAAAACAAGATCTTTGAACCAAAGCATGTAAGTTCAATAGAGCACTGGAATCCAAAAAATAATTCGAAGAATGTAAATTCCATTTGATTAACATCTACAAGATTTATCTTTGAAGCACATAAGATCAAGAGTTTCATATAGCATGAGGAACCTGTATTATAACAAGCGAACTGGTTACACTACGTGATCGTGCTGCATTATCACAGAATAATTTCTATGCGACCATATAGTTCATCAAAGACCACAGTATACATTAAATTCATGCAGAAGATGAAGAAATTACCATTGAGAAACGTAGTGGTGGAGAAGAGAAGAAGCAAGCAGAAGAAAGAGAGCTCCATTTGATTTGTGAATGATCTATTAACAATGAAAGCATTCCTTTTGTGGAAAATGAATGTTGGAGATGACCTAATAATAATATCTTGTAACCCAACAACGACGGCAACCTCAGTCAAGAAACCGCCCCGCCCATAAGCGATCCTTTGGATGATGCAATACTTTTGCTTCAGGCATGCCATAAGAGGGTAGATTCTTAGCCTTCTCTAGGTCCAGAGATGACGTCCAAACAATTCTGTGATTCTTGTGAACAAGAATACCAAGATTCTTAACCTTAATTTTACTACAAAGGTGACAAATGTTTTCTGGGGGGTGGGGGGCGGGCATGGTATAGATTCTTACTTTACTCTCACTTTTTTTCGAGTTTTAAACTATCTATCTCAAATTGTAAGTATGCCTTTTCCCCTTTCTGGTCTTGTTTCCATCGGAGAGCTTTTGTCTCTCTCTAAAGGATCTTTCTTTGTTTGATATGCTTTGGGATGAATGGTAGTACCTTTCGTGGGAAAGGAGCATAACCATAAATTGGGAAAATGATCTTTTTTTTTCCAAATTCATTTTCACCTTCTGCACACCATGTATACTTTTAGTCGATTTTCTTGTAATTTATTTAAGGAAAAATTAGGTTCACATCCTTCTTTTTACTACTTTATTGATTAAAATTCTATTCATTTTTCAATTTTTGATCAAGGTCCTTGGGTATTAATAACATCATTAATTATTTGAATAATAAAATATTTTTATTTTTAAATATATTCCTTTAGTGTTAAAAATTTTACAATTAGTATATTTATATTTATGGCTAAATTTTTATCATATATTTTTATTTTTGGTTTGAACCTATTTTTAATTTGTACCAATTTTTTTTTTCATTTTTAATTTGTACCCATATATTAGTTTCTTTTTGTGCCCATATTTTTTAAAGTTTTATTTGTGTTTGTATCCATGTGTATACGGTCACGTGACATTGTATATTTAATCAATGATAGAAAAATTACATATGGTATATTTATGTTTTATGCCTAAACTTTGTATCATATATTTATATTTTTAGTTTGTACCCACTTTTAATTTGCACCATTTTTTTTAAATTTGTGGTATTTTCTTTTTAGTTTTATTTTGTACCCATGTATTAATTTCTTTTAGCGCCTATATTTTTAAAAAATTCATTTGTACTCATAATTTTTTAATCTTTTATCTGTACCCTAATTTATTTATAATGTACCCATTCTTTATTATTAATGTACCACTTTGTTATATGTGAAATGTACCAATTTTTTTGTAAAATGTACCAATTTTTTTAACACTATGGATACATTCTTTTGCCATTTATTATTTCTTATTTTTACACAGTTTTTATCCATTTATTCAATCAAAATGTTTGAATTTTTTTATTGTAACCATTTCTAATAGTATTATAATGAGGGATTTTAAATTTATAGGATTATAAATCACATAAAATATCAAACAATTATTGCCAAAACTATAAAAATATTAATATTAATTGTAATATAATGAGATGTATAAAGTCAAGGGACTTTGATCAAACTTTGAATACCATTAAGATTTTAGTCAAAGAATGTTAAGGATTAGGGACCGCATCCAAAATATCCCTTTATTCAAATTACAGGCCAGAAACAAATATGAGTGTGAATGAAGAAAAAAGAGTACGAAAGACATTTCTCTAAATTGGAGGTGTCCGTACTCCAAAATTATATTGCGGATAGAGTGAAACAAAAATATAGGAAATGTATTACAAATCAAGGCTTTGTTTCGCTACAACAATATTCTACCTTAAGAGGAGGGAATGAGATTAGGTTAGGACCGTTAGGTCACACAATAGAGTCATTCACTAATTGGGTATTAACTCAACACAAGCTTTAATATGCCATCATCATTCATGTGCATTGAATTTAAGACCGCTCACTTTACTAAGCTGAAGCACAAGCTGGTAGAAAATATAGAAGAAAAAGTGGGTAATAGAAAGATAAAAGATCTGGACAATAACGAGCAGGGAAGAAAAAACAATAATGCCACTTTTCATGGTGGTCCTGGTTTTCCAAATCGGATCAAACTCGTACGAGTTAAAAAAACTGGTCTGTTTGAGTTTTCTTGTTTTCTCCTCCAATGCACATATTTGCACATATTCAAATAGCAAAACTAATTTATGTGTGTAAGTCTTGCGTTACAAAACGCATAATGTTGTGTTACATTTGACCCTCACCATGCTTTGGGTCTAAAATTTTCCTGCCTAATGGAAATGGGCTTACACATTCATGTAAGTCCATGTCCACTGTACCAGAAATGCCAGACTCAAACTAAAGGATAAAATGTCCAACACACCTTTTTTTTTCCCCTGCCCTCCTTATGCGATCGCATAAACTTGTACAATATCCAATCTAGGGTGAATGTGGTTCTCAGAACCCCTACAAACTGCACAGCAGAGCAAAACTGCAAAATCTAGTACCTAATGGTACCTAATGTTCCCTCGCCTTTTTATCAAAATTTGCAAAAACAAAATTCCTTTCCAAAAAATGGAAACAGCTGAGAACAGCGCTCCTCAAACAAAAACTCCGGCAGCCGAACATTTTCAATTTTCAGAACACAAGCAGAACAAGGTAATTAAAACTTTAGTCACATTAACAAAGGAACAAGTTAACAAACAAATGGTACCAAGTGACCATCTACTGATGACTAAAACGCAACCGGTCCAATAAGTACCTCTTACATTCTACAATCTAAGCTACTCCATAACCATAGTTGCAGAATCTACAAGTAAGACCTATTCTACCAGACCGGTTGGTTCCCTAGATACAGTTAAGTCTAACATTAACAACATTAACATTACAATCATCCATAACTCCCGGAGTCACTGTAACAAAGGGGGCGAAACAAAGTTCAAGAGATGTAACAGAATCCCAACTGCAATAAATGGTACAGAACATTCAACAACTCACCGGAGAGGTGGTAGAGCATGTTCAGCTGCTCAATTATAGAGGGGCATCCGCTTGCGCCACTTGCTCAACCTTACCATTTTCAACAACCTCCCCATCCTTGGGCTTGACTTTCTCTTCAGCTTGAGCATTGCATTTCCCATCGTTCTCTGCTGCATCATGTTTCATTTTGATCTCTCCGCCCATAGGAGGTGCGGTTCCATCCAGATTCTCTTTCTCTGCTGCCCCATTTGCTTCAACAGTCACAGTAGCTATGTCATCCTGTTTCTTGTCACTAGTTCCATCTGCTTTTCCTCCCTCAGCTTGCGGTACATCTTCTTTGTTGTTTTCAGCTGCTTCCTCAGCGGGTTTTTCCTCTACTGCATCTTCCTTTTTCTCCTCACCTAGAGTTTCCTTAGCATCAGTCAGGGTCTTATCCTTACCATCCTCTGGCTTAGTCTGGTCAGTTTCTTCCTCAGTTTTTCCTCCATTGCCAACCTGATTTTCCTTCAAAGCATCTTTCCCTTTCTCGGCTTCTGCATCCTTCTGTTTCTCACATTCTGCATCTTTCTTCTCATCTACCTCTGCATCTTTCATTTGAATTTCATTTGTAGCATCAGCTTCTCCACCAGAAGCTTCCACTTTGTCCTTTGAACCTGATGATTTTCGGCCTCTCTTTTTTGGAGGCTCGCTCTCTGGTGATGGAGCCACCTTGACCTTTTCACTGATCCTAGCTGATCTCCTAGGGGTTTCACCAGTGCTCCAATCAAACTCTGATATTGCGGGGTTACCAGGATGTGCTTTTAGGTATTTCTCCAATTGTTTTTTACTATTAAACTCCTCTCCTGTCGGAGAAATGAATATGATTTCATTTTTCCTTGGTGTGCCTCCCTTCTTGGGCAAAAACTGCAGAACAAAGAAAGTAAATTGTCAAAGACCATATCCAAGAATTATGTAAAATAACCACATGGACTCAATTCAATTGACCGTCCTTGATATTACCAACAATATTTGCATGTACCATATTAAAGGATTCAGAGAAGCCCACATCCTTTAGGCAAATAGTTCTGCGGAATGCAATCTAAGTGATTATGTGAAACAGAACATCGTTATTGTCACCAGAATATCATTCAACTTTCACAAGCTGTTTTGAGTAGGTTTACCGGGATAAACTTCAATAATTTCAAAGGTTATCTAAATCTTTCTTCTCTATGTTTTAAGACTTCATAGCCATTTTAGGTTTGGATTAGTTTGCACATGTATTTTTTATACTTTCAAGAATGATATGGATAAAGGTATGGGGGAACTTCTGAGATCAATAGAACTAGAACAATGATGATAAAGCGTGCAGTTTATAGGATAAAAATGTCAGTAAACTGAAAACCATTCATTTTTTGTCTATATATATAGACACACACACTTTATCTAGCACTAAAATAACTGGCTATACTTTTCACCTCTTCTTATTGTATCAAACATGTGCATCTATGTGCAAGTGTAAAGTACATATTGAAAACATATAAAGGAAAGAAAAGAACAGGAAATATCAGCACATTAGAACAGTATTCATTTCAAATTCAGGTTACCACACTGGGTTGTTCTTTCTTTAAGGATTCTCGTCCTGAAGTTTCTGCTGCTGTTTTGGATGATTTAGTTGGAGCCAAGAGCTGTATGATCTAGCTCTAGGGGTTGAGTTTTTCTTTTTTGTGTTGTGGTTGTTTGCGCTTTGTGCCCGTTTTCTAACCCAAAAGGAAAAAAAAATTCAACTGAACACATTCTCCAACATCGTAAATAATTAAGTGGTGTTCAAGATGAAATTCCTATTTTAAATGGTCAGTGTTGGGTATAAGCACTGTCATATTTCCAACCAGAAAATACTCTTTGCCAGATGGTTAGAATGTAGCAGCGGTTTGTCTGTTATAGATCTCAAATTTAATGAAATATATGGTCGGTCACCCAAAGAAAAAAAAACCAGAATTTCCGCACCTAGACACATTCTGCCCCATGTCAATATTACCCATTCCTTGTCCTTAGGAAGAGGAAGAGTAGACTAGGAATCACAACTGAGAGCCCTTTACTACCAACTGCTAAACATTTGAAAAATTGATTACTTTCTGACAACAAAATATTTTTTACCGAAAGTAAATCAAGAGAAAATTTGGTCATGCAGCAGCATAAGTTATCAATATTAGAAATAAAATAGCATGCTTGGAATGCAGTTTGAAGGAAGAAATTTTGAATTCCATGTGCTTACTTTTAAACAAACAAATGAAAGGCAGAAGGAAAAGGCTCAGCCAAAATCAATGTTTATTATCTTTAGCAAGCTTGTAATAGCCGATGGTTGCAGCAGAAAGTGGAACACACAGCTAGTTCAAAACAAAACAGTGTCATAAATTAGATATACTGTGATTTTCCCATGCTTACAGAATATTGCCTTTAAAACATCCTATATGAAGTTGATTACAAAATATAAATCAAGTTCTGATATACGCAAAGGGTACACAACCTATTTTTATAGGACCCAAATCATCCAGTATTGGTGGTTCACTGAACACTGGTAGACAAACTTCAGGTCCACAACCTAAAGGGCACACATCAAATGTCTACAAACTTCAGGTCCACAACCTAAAGGGCACACATCAAATGTCTACAAACTTCAGGTCCACAACCTAAAGGGCCCACATCAAATGTCTACAAACTTCAGGTCCACAACCTAAAGGGCCCACATCAAATTTCTACTAATACTAATACAAATTTAACAGAAGCAATTGTAACATAAAGCAGATATTAGGTTAAGCTAAAGCTGCTAGCTAGGGCTACCAGATGGAAGTCCTAATCAAAACCGCTTTTGAAGTTAGTGTAGCATACAACTGAAAAACTAAATTAGTGCACTAATAAAATGGGATTCCTCATCAAAGCATGTCTGACCAGGTTAAGGTTCTATCTGACCTTGCAGTTAAACAACCCAGAGTATAGAGATGTGTACAAAAATTGGAATTGCCCCAAGCCTAAAATTTGTAAAATAACCTGTGTGATAGTGCAACATTAGGTTTGTAGGGTTAGAACGGTTTCTACAAAGGGGGGCTACAAATTATTTCCATACTTGATCATTGTACATGATTCAAAGACAAGAATGACTAAGAAAAAAACAGAGACATGTGGAAACGCCATTCATGACTTAAGTGAGCCAACTGTAACTGAACAAGATTTTTTCTTTTTGTCGAAAGTAACTAAACAAGATTTGATGTGATTAGATTACCTCACTAGTTTATTCATTAACGGTAGATTACCTCACTAGTTTATTCATTAACGGACAACAGTTAACAGATTGAAAAATCAGTTATGACCTAGTGGAATCAAAACTACCTAAAAATAACAAAAAGAAACCCGTCGGGGCGGGAAATAGTTTAAACTTTCTTTTGGAAACATTCACAGCACCTATCAATATAAATGGAATCCAGGGTGCAAATGTTGAAGAAAATTCTTGAGTTCAGTAATATCAGGAGGGTCCTAAATTTGAAGAAAAATTTATAGCTTGAAGGATACGTGGTTTTTGGATAATTTCCCTCAAACCTTGTACCCGACAAGGGAATGGGTCATAGGGGTTCCTTCATCATACGAAAAACTAACAACTCTTAAGTTCAGAACCACCTCTAGCAAGTCTATCACACTTGCAATTTGCAACGGTGAAGGAAACCGCCAGGATCTATTAGCAGCTAATAACATTCAGCTATTAATAATTTCTCCTAGCTTTTTAGATTAGTGAACTTACAGAGTTACACTTCCTTTATCTGGAAATCGCTCGATTTTTACTTCTACAAGAGTAAGTTTTCCAACAAATTAACAGAGATTCCCACAAACCGCCAACAAAAATATGATCTTACAGAAGAAAATTATATATTCCTAATTCCTATATTTGAACATATAATTGTTGGGTAATCACCAAAATTAGCTACTAATTTACACTAACAAGAGCAAAATTATAAAACAACAATCAGCACAGACCAAGTTGAAAGCAGAGCACTTCAAAGGAAATCTTAACAATTGAAGTTACTGCACTTATTTGGGCACACAAATTTTACTTCCATGAATTAAAAATTCAAATGCTAAAGTGAAAACCCTAACTTTGAAAACCAAGCAATTCAAAAACAAAGTTCTGACTAAAGCTAAAAATTGAAGCAGCTCAAGCAGAACCAGAGGCAGAACCCTAAGATTCGAAGCAAAAAAGAGCTACAACAAAATTATACAGCATTCAAATAGAGCTACATATAAAATTTGAGTGAGTAAACAGGAGAGAGAGAGAGAGAGAGAGAGAGAGAGAGAGAGAGACCTTCTTCTTCCAAGCAGGAGGAGCTGAGAGCTCAACAGAAACCTCATCCACTTTGCTCTCCATGTCTGCCGCTGCTCTACCCTAAACCCAGAATTCGCCCAAATACTCAACCCCTATCCTCTCCCTCCCTTTCTCTCTCTAAATACACACTTTCTCTCTCTAAAACGCTTGAAGTTGTAATGTTTGTTCGTGTATTGTGCGGACTACGGACGTGTGTCTTTAAGACTTTAGAAGCTCTGAGAAAAACCGGTTGCACCTCCTTTGTCCCTCCGCTTTCCTTTTTTTCTAATTTTTTATTTATTTTTCTCTTTTCGGTATTAAAACCGACATGAAAATTTTAACTAGAAAAAGGAAACTGTCAGAAAATCCAGCCACAACAAAAAAGGAAATTACCGTTAAATAGCGTTTTGATTCAACAATGTATCGTTATGTAAGCGTTTCGTATAAATTTTTCCCAAAGTTAGATAAGTGATGCTTTATTAATTAGGAAAATTAATAAAAATAATTTGAAAATTTTAAGTTTTAATAATAATGATAAAATCAAAGATAAAGTGAATAGTACTATGATTGACTTTTTAGTGTAAAAATATGATTTTTTCGTTAAAGTAAACAGTACTGAAAGTTTTTCATTAAAGTTCTCTCATTAATTTCCTGTCCCTATCAAAATGGTTAACTTTTTTCTGGGTTTTTTTTGGATAAATATGATTATTTTTTTATAATTTATAATTTTTATTTTAATAATCTCGTTTTGGATTTAACTAATGTGACGAGGGGCGACTTGTCACGTGTTCGCGATGCTTACGTTACGGATAACGTTTTTAAACTGACCTACCTACGCTATTGCTTCTAGAAGCTACCCTTTTATCAAGACAGAGAAAAAATAATGTAATTTAAAACCTATTTGTCATTAAAACTAGATGGGTTTTCTAACAAAAAAATAAATATAATAATGGGCTGAAATGGAATGCAAGACAAGGCCCACATGACCACCCAATCTTAGACAAAGCCCAATGTATTTGAGATTCAGCCATCCCCTTCGAATTTCAACTTTATATAAATTTTCATTGAAGAAGACGATTAAGTTAACCCTAGAAAGACCATTTGTTAATCGGATTTCAACTCCATCCCCTCAAATAAAATTAAAAATTAAAAATAAATCATTTGTTCAAAAAGGAAAATGAGTTTTAATCTTTTTACCTGAAATGTACAAACATTTTGATATTTGAAGTGCGCCAATTAAACCCTAAATCATTTGTTCAAAAAGGCAAATGGTTCACAATTCCAACATTATAGTTTTTTTTTTTTGAAAAGGGGACTAGTTGGTGGCTTCGCCACAATAGTCCACCCTTTCAAGGACAGGGAAGATTAGACTGGCAATTTCTTACACAACACGTAAACGACACAAAAATAACAAGTTTTGGGTCACACGATAACTATTCGGGTCATTATCGGGTCACACGATAATAACCCTTTAATAACGGGTCTTTAACAAGTTTACACGAGAGCGACACGCTGGTAACCTGTTTCGACATGATAAGAAAAAATTTATTTTGATAATTTTAATTTTGTAAACTACTATTGAGCAAAAATTGTACATAATATGTAAACACATAATTCTTTCGACACAATTTCACCCTCATTCATTTTTTCGAAGAGGGTTTTATTAATTCGAGTTCGACCCATTCTAGACTACGCGCCTATTAATTACAACCTTTCTTTTGGGAAAGGAATACCTTTTGATTCTAATATGAATAAATCGTAACTTGGGGATTTGGGTGTTTATTTGATTGTGTAACTACGTCTAGGTAGAGCCCTAGATTGCCTACGTACCCTCGTTGAGGGATCAAGTTACTCGTAGTTCTTTGTATACTTGATACTTTTTTGGATTTGATGCCTTGTACAATTTTCGCTCATGCGGGTAAGGACTTTGCGCCATTGAAGTGTTTGTGCCTTGTGCAGTTTAGGCTCTTGCAGTTAAGGACTTTAAGCCATTGGAGCTTTTGATTCAGCTTTATGCCATTTGAGATTTTTCTTCAGCTTTATGCCTTTTGGGATTTGATGCGGCTTCATGCCATTTGAAATTTGATGTGGCTTCGTGCCATTTGTAATGTGAAACGGCTTTGTACCATTTGAAGCGGCTCATAATTTGAACCGGCTCGCTTCTCTTTTACTCTTCATAGAATTTGTAATTACTTGGTCAAAGTAACAGAAATGAATTTAGTTTATATAAATCAGGGATTCGTCTTGATTTCACGGTTGCGTCTATAATTTGATATCAGACTGCCTACGTATCCTTAATGGAATCAAACCGGCGTAGTTCATATGGTTTGTTGATATTTGATTTGGATTTGTGTTCAGACTTTGGCTAAATGAAAAGACAATTGGATTTATTAAAAACCCACATATGACCTTCGTATTTGCCTAATAGGCTTTGTGAAATAAGGGTTTTATTTTGTCTTTTCCTTAAGTAGTTTTGAAGACATAAAGTGGGACTCCCAGCCCCTCGTGAGATGCACCGTTCAAACTTTTTCTTGAGACTTGAAGACAAAGTGGGATTTCCACAAGGCACACGAGAAAGGATAAGATTAGGAATGAGGATATCCGGGGTAAAGTAGGAGTAGCCGAAATTGAAGGAAAGATGAGAGAAAATCGGTTACGGTGGTTTGGACATGTGCAAAGAAGGCCTACTGACGTTCCGATTAGAAGATGCGACTATGGGACAGAGGTTCAGGGCCGAAGGGGTAGAGGAAGACCTAGGAAAACTTTGGAAGAGACTCTAAGAAAAGACTTAGAGTACTTAGATCTAACGAAGGACATGACACAGGATCGAGCACAATGGCGTTCTAAGATTCATATAGCCGATCCTACTCAGTGACTTGGATTTTCCAAGTCTCCAACCGAGAAGTTTTCCTCACTCGGGAAATTAAGGGAACACTACCCCAACCTACATGCTCCACTCAGAAAGCTTCAACATACAAGCTTTAACAAAAGAAAATTCAAAGAACTTAGCGAAGAAGGCTTTGGTGTATTTAACACAATACGTCGAAATGAAGGAAAGCTTATTTATTGATATCCCCGATAAGCTACAAATATGTACATATACATGAGTCAAAATAAGCACACAAGAGGGAGCCTTCACAAAGGTTGCTTAGGAGAAGTCTCAGCAGTCGGTAGAGCCCCAGAAAGAGAAGGCACCGGAGGGGGATCATTTGGAGCCTCAGTACTGGACAGAACCCTAGAAGGAGGAGGCATCAGAGGTTGATCATTTGGAGCTTCATTACGCGGTACAGCCCCAGAAGACGAAGGCAATAAATGCCTTTGGAACAAACCCACAAATCTCTGATGATCAAGTAAAACCTGACCATCAGTTTCCTTCATCTGGTCAAGCTTCCTCTTCATGTTTGTAGCATAGTCATGTGCGAGCCGGTGCAACTGTTTATTCTCATGCTTGAGCCCTCTAATCTCCTGTTTGAGACTCATCACTTCAGCCGCCAATGATTCAACTTGGCGGGTTCGAGCAAATAGGCGTTGGGCCATATTAGACACAGAACCTGCACACTGAACACTGAGAGCCAGCGAATCCTTAACAGCTAACTCATCAGACCGTTTGGAAAGTAGTCTGTTATCTTTGGGAGTGAGAAGGTTCCTGGCCACCACCGCAGCGGTCATATCATTCTTCATCACGGAATCCCCAACGGTAAGAGGACCAGTAGGGGAGACGAAGGATGGGCGCCATATGTTGTCTGGAGAAGGCGGGGCTGCCTCTTCAACAAGGTTCAAGTCAAAACGACGGTCGGAGGGGCCAGACATTTTCAAAGGTGTTGAAGAGAGAAGAGGTCGGACAAATCAAGATCTTAGAAGTGCAAGAATGAAGCTTCTACTGGTGGAGATTCAAGTGTGCTTTGGAACTTAATGCCAGCCCCTATAAAAATCTGCACTCGACGAAGCTTCAGAAATCGAAGAGGCGCCTGCTCAGAAATCGAAGAGGCGTTTGCTTTCTCAAAAGCTGGGCTGCTTAGAGATCACGAGGGTTGATCTCAGAAATCGAAGAGGCGTTTGCTTTCTCAAAAGTTGGGCTGCTCAAAGACCACGAAGGCCGATCTCAAAAATCGAAGAGGCGCTCGCTTTCTCAAAAGCTGGGCTCCCCAGAGACCACGAGGGTCGATCTCAGAAATCGAAGAGGCACCTACTTTTCCAGCCTTTTCCAGCCTTGTCAGCACCTGTCACACGCACACTCAGTTTTGCGGAAATTATGGGCATTCTGTCAAAGACTTCTGGGAAAGTAGAAAAACACATGAATCTTACTGTTCAATCACCCACTTCCCACACGCAACAATAGCTCATGGGTACCACAGATAACTTTGCCAAAGTTCTCTGCCAAAGTTGAGCACGTGAAGCTTGCAGCTCCCACTACATCGCTCTGACCAAGAAGGGTAAAAGAATAGCAAAGAAACAGCACTAACAAAGTTTAGACCCATAAATTTTGAAGGTCTAGCTACCATATTATTACCCACAAGGGTAAAGGAACAGTACCACTGCTGGATAATTGGAAAGTCCCTATGTGTCAACCTCTGTGCTTCGTGGCAAGGTAGACTAGCAAACATGCCCAACCTTTACTCACATTCGAGAAAACACTCCCAATAAGATTGCTTGCTCCAAAATCGAAGAGGCACCGTCCTCCGAATCTCGAGAGCCAGACTCCCAACATGACTACTTTCTTAAAAATCGAAGAGAGGGTAAAGGAACAGTACCATTGCTGGATAATTGGAAAGTCCCTGTGTGTCAACCTCTGTGCTTCGTGGCAAGGTAGACTAGCAAACATGCCCAACCTTTACTCACATTCGAGACAACACTCCCAACAAGATTGCTTGCTCCAAAATCGAAGAGGCACCGTCCTCCGAATCTCGAGAGCCAGACTCCCAACATGACTACTTTCTTAAAAATCGAAGAGAGGGTAAAGGAACAGTACCATTGCTGGATAATTGGAAAGTCCCTGTGTGTCAACCTCTGTGCTTCGTGGCAAGGTAGACTAGCAAACATGCCCAACCTTTACTCACATTCGAGAAAAACACTCCTAACAAGATTGCTTGCTCCAAAATCGAAGAGGCACCGCCCTCCGAATCTCGAGAGCCAGACTCCCAACATGATTACTTTCTCAAAAATCGAAAGAGACACTGCTCCCCGAATCTCGAGAGCCAGACCCCCAGCATGAT